GGCTCCCCAAAGAGGAGATGAGATCCTCAACTTGACCTGTGGAGAAGGTTCATTGACTGGTGTTAGAGAAAAAGAATTTCAGGTCAGGTGTGGTGGTTCATGCCTGTAATCCCAGCACACTAGGAGGCTGAGACAGAGGATTGCAAGGGGCAATTTACTAAGACCCTATCAATAAATGAATAAATAAATAATATTTTTTAAAGGATAGGGGAATTTGGCTCAGTGCAAAAGCCCTGAATTCAATGCCTAATAGTATCACAACAAATAGAAAGAAAAAGAAAAAGAAAGTCAGAACATATTAGTGTGAAGCCCAGGCAGATTTATTCAGCAGAGCTAGAAAGTAAGGGAGAACAGAGAAGGGTCTCCAGATGAAGAGGTTCAGACAACCCCCTTACAAAAGAAGAGACTAGCTGAGGTGGGAGGGGTCTGCATGATCATCACCTCAGTTCTGGTTTCATTAGCTCTGGAGAAATCCTATGGTTTAAGGGGCAGCTGGAGTCCCATGAGATAACTGTGCTTTCTGTAGTGGGCAGCCTTAGTTCCTCCCATGGGGAAACTGCTCCCACTTAGGGGAGGTGACTTTATCATGGGGTGTGGTCTATGCCCTTCCATTTTTCCTGGAACTCAAGGGATTACAAGTTTAGGACCATGGTTGAAGATTCTAGGTGTTGCTAAAGATGAGTCTGGAACTGGACCATAATAGAAGCTGGGGAGTGCATGTCCCTGAAAATTACTTAGTTATTCTTATCTTGGTGGCCTCAGTCTTGAAGGGGTTTGAAATGGACCAGGTAAATTTAGGGCTCATAAACCTTGCATTACAGACACTGCTTAAGTGATTAAGGGGCTTATATGCAGAGCTGAGCAGAAATCTGATTAAAACCAGTGTTAAGGTAATAAGGAAGACTTTTAAAATGAAGGCAGAGACACCAAGCTTTGTTCTGCTTTTAGTTACCTACTGGGCATCTACAAGTCCAACCTGTAGGTAGCTGTCACAGATTCCCTATTTCAGTCTATTCCTTAATCTTGAGGGAATTACGGAGTCAGCCATTTTGGCTTTGTAAGTGTTCTAGACAGCCAGTAGCCTAGTATATGAGAACAGGACAAGCTGAGTCCTGAGCTTCTGGAATGCCTGGCCCCAATCCTAGGGAGTGAGGTTATGGAGTACAGATATAGACAGTGTTGGGTAACTGTGTTCATACCTTTGAACTCTATGCTAGTGAGGTGAGTCTTGGAAGATGGCAGACAGACTGTCAGGGAAACTAACTTTATAACGGGAGGATTGGAACTTTCAGCCTCATCCCCTGATATTCAGCAGAGAGGACCTGGAGAGTGATTTGATCACCAATGTCCGGCAATGTAATCAATCATGCTCATGTAATGAAGTCACCATAAAACCCTAAATAGTGAAGTTTGGGCCTCAGACAGCTTCCTGGATGGTGAAGACATCAAGGAGCTGGGAGGGCGACCAGAGATGGCACGGAAGCTCCACAATCCTACCTCTGCGTCTCGCCCTCTGCACTTCTTCCATTTGGTTATTCTTGAGCAATATCCTTTGCAGTTCACCAATAGTAATAAGTACAGCACTTTTCTGAGTTCTTTGAGCCATTTCTTTTTTCTGTTTTTTGGTTTTTGGAGACAGGCTGGCTCTGGACTCACTCACTATGTAGCCCAGGCTGGCCTAGAACTTGCAGTGATCCTCCTGTCTCAGCCTCTCGCTGGGATTACAGGTGTGCACCACTACACCCAGCTTTCTATGAGCCATTTTAACAAATTACTGAATTGGAAAGGGATCACAGTGGGGTTCACTAATTTGTAGCTAGGTGATCAGAAGCACAGGTCACAACCTGGGACTTGCACCTGGCATTACCTCTGAGTAGTGAGTGCCATAAGTGAATTGTAGGATATACCACAGATGTCTGGAAAGTTGGAGAATTTTTGTGAGGGAAAAACTCACAGATATGGTATCAGAATTTTTGAATAGAAGACTTTTTTCTTTTCTTTTCTTTTCTTTTTTTTTTTGGTAGTGAGGATCGAACTCAGGTCCTTGCACTTGCGAAGCAGGCAGCAGAACCACTGAGCTAAATCCCTGGCCCCAGAAGACTTTTTTCTTTTGAGCTTTCTTACTCTACTGTTTTTCTGCCTGTCTTCTTTGGCTAAGTCATTTATAAAAGCACTCAACAATTCCCCCAAAGACTTGTAGATTTTGTTGCAGACAATAAAGCACTCAAGAAAAACTCCTCAGTGATTAGTGCTCGAGGATCATTTCTTCAGTAATAAGGAAAGAGATGGGGGAAAGAGAAGCCAGGTTCTAGAGCCCCAAGAAAGAGATCCCAGCTGAAGCTCATGGCCCCAAGGGGAGTTACAGGCTTGCCAGAGAGGCCCGAGAGCCTAGCAGAGAGAAATCAGCTTTTAGAGCTTTTACTGAGAACTACCACTAATTCAATAAAAGATACCCAAATCTCCCTTTCTGGTCTGGACCATCTTTCCCAAAGCAATGAGTATGTGTTTGCTAGTACGGTGTTTATGACAAACATGCATGAGAATAAGTACTGTAACACTTTTGGAGCAAGGGATAGTGCAGGGAATATTCATCTCAGTGATATGTCCAGGCCCGTATGGCACCCTACAACTCAGCAGATACCCTCCAAGCATAGAGAAAAGGGGCTGGTGGCCGAGAACACCCTGCCTTAGCACCAGCCAGCTCTTTTTTCTATGAGGCTGGGATATCATACTAAATACTATGCCCCACCGCTTCTCGGTCTTTTGGCTAAGATCAAGTGCATATACTGTGCCCAAACAGGTTCCAAATGTAGCAGTAGAACTCCCTTCTGTTCTCTGGCATCGTGAGGAAGTACCTCCTTTCACATAGGGCTTTTGTGTGTGAGCATTTCTACATAGATTCTGGGGGAAAGTCATCTCATATTTAAAGTATGACGATAGCTGTCTAAGGCCCAATGTTGCCTTGCCCAAGGGCCGGTTATGGCGCGGAAACTATGGCGTGTGGAAATGTAACTCCATTTGCTTCCAGTCATAGATGAGGCCTCAGTGATCTGTGAAGCTGTGGTGCTCAACGGCAAGGTGACAGACACCAGCTGAAGACATCCTGGTTCCCAGTAGTAATACAGAAGAGAAAGGTGTCACCCTGGGAGGGAAGAGATCCTTATCAGCTCAGCTCATCCCACCTACTAAGATGGGAGTGCTCTCCTTTCCGCCCTCATCAGCATGAGGTTTGCATGGGCAGGGATCAGACTTGCAATCACCACCGCCCCAAGTCACCCAACGCTCCCTCCGACTATTGTGTGTACCCAGTAAATAGTGGCTACCTCGGACCGTTTTTTGCCCACTCTGAGGTAGTGTCCTCCCAGACCCCCATATACTGGGAAATTACACAAGTCTCTATTGTCTTCTTTTATTTGGCCCTCCCCGTCCCTCTTTCAGGGAGTCAGAGGAAATCAGGCTCTTACACTTTCCCATGAATTACTGTTCAGTTCTTCGGATGTCCCATAGCCATAGGCTTGCTACATATGGATAAACTTTGGGATGCAGGTTGCCTTCCAGAGATATTGACCCTCATTTCTTATTCAGTGTTGCATCATAGTTTTGACTTCGATATTCTGGAATCAAGAAGGGAAATGCAAACTCTAAGAAATAACAGTCCAAGAAAGTAGAACGGTTTTTCCAGAGGTTGGGAGAGAAGGGATATGGTGTTATTGTTTAAAGTTTTAGTTTTGTGATGCAAGCCTGTAATCCCAGCATTCAGGAGGCTGAGACAGGAGGACTGCCAGGAGTTCAAGTCCAGCCTGAACTATATAGTGAGACCCTGCCTCAAAAAAACAAACAACAATACCACCCTATTTTACAGGATAAAAAGCATCGCAGGATGGGCAGTGGTGATGGTATTTAATACTACTGCACTATATAAAGATCATTAAAGCTGGATGTGGTGGTGCATGCCTGTAATCTCAGCATTTGGGAGGGCAAGTGAGATAAGAGGATTGCCATGAGTTCAAAGCCAGCCTTGGCTACATAGTGAGTTTGAGGCCAGCTTGGACTGCAGAGCAATACCCTGTCTCACAAAAAAAAGATAGAGGATTGAATCCAGAGCCTTCGCACTGAGCTACATTACTAGCCCTTTCTATAAATTTTGAGACAGTGTCTCACTAAGTCACTAAATTGCCTAGGCTGGACTTAAACTTGTGACCCTCCCACATCAGCCTCCCAGAGTGTCAGAATTACAGGTGCGAACCACTGTACCCAGCTTGAGTAAATTTTATGTTATGCATATTTTATCACAATCAAAAAAAGTGAAAGCTGGGCAAGGTAGTGCACGCCTGTAATTCCAGCACTCTGGGAAGCTGAAGTAGGAGGAATCCAAACTTGAGGCCAGCCTGGGAAACTTAGCGACTCACAAGATCCATCTCAAAAATAAAAATTACCCATGGGCTGGGAATACACTTCAGTGAGAAGTCCCTGGGTTCAATCCCTAGTATAAAGAAAAAAGAAAGAATTGAAAAACGTGAAAGGAGTGGCTCGTATGGATCTTCTTCGCCCATTCCTCCAATAATTTGCCTATTGGTTTCAAAGTGATCCCTAGTGACCGGAATGATTATTTCCTTCCCTCTGTTTGATAAACACTGCGGGTGGGGGAGAATGTGGGAGAAAGAACAACAGTGGGGAAATTGAGATGGGTCACTCGGGTTAGGGATCCAGAAGCCCAGGCCTGTTTTCCGAGGGACGTGTATCACGGGTGCTGTTGGCTGCAGGAGAGCGGGAGATGAGCTCGGCTGCAGGTGCCGTCCGGGGGTGGCGGTGCAGCAGAGACAGATCGTGGGCGGTGCATCAAGGTGGGGGCGAGGTCAGGAGAAGGCAGGCAGAACTGGCTTCAGCTTGAAAATTGTTCGTGCAGAACTAGCTTCCTGCACCGCCATGTAATCGTGTAGTTGCTCTAACCATCCTCCCTGGGGCCAGCTCAAGCTTGCATTTGTATTTCTCCCAAGAAAAAACACTAGCAGAGGTTCAATGACCCCATTGGAGGGGTTTTTATTGTTATAATTATTAAACATGCTAAAATCACAGAGTAGCTATTCCATTTCGGCCCTGACTCCACAGTGGGGCAGGTGGGAACTACAGGGGTGGCTGGAGTTAGCGGTTAGAGGTAGGCAGGTTAGCAAAGCTCCAAGAATCCTTCCTGCAATACGCTTTTACTGTAGTAAGCCATGGCTTTAGGGACCTCCCCATGCTTGACTTTTCTTTCTTCTCTAAACCCCACTCCACATCATGTCCCCATCCATAGCCCCAGACCCTCTGCTCCCTCTGCCTGCTGTGGTCTCAGACTGGATAGTGAAGGAAAGTTTTCCTTGCCTCCCTCATGGGAACTAAGCTGCTCAGCATGCATTAACGTGGTAAACTGCTTGGTGTAGGTCTGCCTGGGGCAAAAGAGGCTCAGTCCCCAGTGTGACTCTGATCCTAGGAAGGAGGTTGGAGGTGGTGGTACAGGAGGACCTGAAAGGGAAAGAATGTCACACGAAGTGACCCTCAGGCACCCTACTCTAAAGGCTTCCCCTCTTTCCTACATGGCTGTTGGTGGTGGTGGCGGTGGGGACCTCTCAACCTCAAAGCCGCTTGTGCTCCAACCCCACAGGGCAGGCCTAGGTACTCAGCCCAAGGAGACTGGTTCACCCTTCGGCAAACGGCTCCCAACTGAAGCCTTCATCTTCTTGTGTTCCTTGGGCCCCTACTGTTGTGATGGCTTCAGGGTGCCAGAGAAAAGAATACAGGAAGGTTGACTTTGCCTCAGGGAGAGGCTAGAGGGACAAAGGGCCAAGACACATGGGAGCCAGGGCTCTGGAGAAGGGGAGAGAAGGTGGGAGCGTGAAGGGTGAGGCTGGCCCTTCAGGAGCTGGGGTCCTTTTTCCTTTTCTGGAATCGCCGGAACTTGCCCTGAATGGCAAGCGCAGCCTTCTCAGTCTCTGGTGCTGTGAGATCGATGTCAATCTCCTCCTCCTCCTCCGCCTTCTTGGAGTTGCCAGCCTTCCCTGTGGATGGGTGGAAACACACCCATGAGCCACCCTGCCCTCAAGCCCTGTTTCCGGGCCCCAAATACAGTGGTTAAGGTCCATTTGTGCTGGATTCTGGGGACCCCAGTCTTTGCTAGAACTATGAATGTCTGGTAGCTCTTCTAAATCTGGGTCACAGTACTTACACTGGGAACTAGCGACAGTTACCTTAGGGGGCTTTGCTATTTTTTTCTTTTTCTTTTCTTTTCTTTTTTTTTTTTTTTTTTT